GGGCGGATCACGAGGTCAGGAGATAGAGACCATCCTGGCTAACACGGTGAAACTCCATCTCTACTAAAAAATGCAAAAAATTAGCCGGGCGCAGTGTCAGGCGCCTGTAGTTCCAGCTACTCGGGAGCCTGAGGCAGGAGAATGGCGTAAACCTGGGAGGCGGAGCTTGTAGTGAGCCGAGATCGTGCCACTGCACTCCAGCCTGGGCCACAGAGCCAGATTCCATCTCAAAAAAATAATAATAAAATAAATAATAATAAGAAGAAGAATATGAATGAAAGAAAACTAAATGAGACAGAAAACGAAATCAGTGGCTGTGTGAAGAGACCCCAGCAGGCCTCATGGCATCTTGCTCGCACCCTTGAGAGCAAACCTGAAGGATCAGCAGCTCAGAATGGCACTTGCCGGCCGGACCTGGCCCTAAGAGCATGGTCTGCACCCCTTTCTGGAGCCTCACTTCATCAGAGAATGTTAACGGCTATTGTCTGAGATAGTCTACATTTCATGAAATCTTCCTTCCCTGCCCCTTCCAAGAAGATGGCTCCTTCCTCTGTACAACTAAATACAATTTCCATTTTATATCTTTGTAAGAGTATTCCCAAATAAAAAAGTCTTTGATCAGGCCACACTCCACTATTTTCTGCTCAGTGTGGCCACTTTGATGACAGCTCCTGTGGTCTGTGTCTTAGGCTGGAGGTCCCGAGAGGGTGGAGTCTAACCCCCATAGTGGTACCTTGTACACTGAGGACACTATAAATATTGGGTGCATTGAACCAGACTTTAAGAAGAATCTTTCTTCTTTCTGTGAATCTTGTTATTGAATTTTCCGATTATCTAACACCCTCTGCAGAGAAGGACTCATTTTCTAGCACATTAATCTGATACAACTGGCCTACAAATAACATGATTCTGTCCAGCCCTCAAGAAAATCCCACCACCTGCACATTGATCAAAGCAAAGTGAGGGAAAATGTTCTCCTTGCCTTACCATTTGTCTCTTGGATACGTGATGTTGGAAATAAACAGATTATTGAGATTTTTTCTTACCCAAAGTTTGCAGACATAGAGCTTTGTTCAGCATTAATAAAATATTTATCCTGGCTGGGCACAGTGGCTCACACCTGTAATCCCAGCACTTTGGGAGGCTAAGGTAGGCGGATCATGAGGTCAGGAGTTCAAGATCACCTGGCCAACAGAGTGAACGATGTCTCTACTAAAAATACAAAAAAAATTAGCCGGGCCTAGTGGCAGCCGCCTGTAATCCCAGCTACTCGGGAGGTGGAGGCAGGAGAATTGCTTGAACCTGGGAAGTGGAGGTTGCAGTGAGCTGAGATCACGCCATTGCACTCCAGCCAGGGTGACAGTATGAGACTCCATCTCAAAATAAATAAATTAATTAATTAATTAAATAAAACAAAATATCCTGGTTACCGGTTACTTTAGTATTGGGCTTATTTTCCATGTAACCTGCATTAGAGTTCTGCAAACACTACAGATGTCCTTTTTCGGCATTTTGTGGTCAGAGTGATGAAATGAAACCACTCTCAAAGCCTTGTCTTGGGACATCGGATTTGACAGCAGCCGAACCTGTCCTGCAGCTGTGTTTGGATGGTGGGGAGTCATTCAGCCACCCTGGTCTGCCTTTGCTGCACAAGAAATAAGCTAGTAATTCAAGTATATGTATTTTTAGTTCTAACTCAAGCTGAAGAATCAAAGATTGCTGGGTCCTTGGCCCTTCCTTGCTGCTGCAGATAAATAATCTGGTGAGCCATGTGATTTCATGTTGCGCCACGTGCCCAGCCATAAAACAGGGATAACGGTGCTGCCTAAGAGGCGGAGGCCTTGGGAGCTCATTGCTTTGCGCCGAGTGCTGAAGACTGACAAATGAAGGGCTCTAGGCACGAGGCAGTAGGCTGCTTCACTTGCCAGGCGGTAAAAGGCAGGCCTGAACTTCCATCTCCTGCAGCACTCAGAAGAAGCTGGCTACATTCAGAGGCCCCCACCTGAAAACTACTAATGAAGCTGAGGAAGTCACATCCAGCCCCATTGTAAGCAGAGGCCACCTTGATCTTGGCCCTGCCCCAACTGGACTCCCAGGGCACCCTGGAGACAAACGCCCTCCATAGTCCTTCCTTCCTTTGGAAGCTGCCAGAGCCTCACCAGGGCAATTTCTGCATCTCATGTCATGAACTTCGGTTCATCCACAGATACTCACCAGGTGCTTATGCACCCAACACTGGGCTTTCCCCCTTTTGCTTCAGCAACAGAACTCCTCACATTCTCTGCTGCAGCCGCTGCAGCCACACCAGCCCCTCAAATCTCTTGCAGTCTTAGTCTTGTTCCTCTCTTGAGCCACAAGGCCTTTGCATAAGCTGTTCACTCGGCCTGGAACTCTCTTCCCTTCAGATTCCACTCTCAGCTGAAGCACCCCTTTCTGAGGAACAGCTTCCCTGATCCCTGCCTCAGTCCACCCTCCAGCCCACCCTAAGTACCCCCAGTGCCACAAGTCCTTCTACACCATCGCAATGCCCCATTGATCACTTCCTCCATTGTTTATCACCGTCTGCTGTGAGCTGGGCATTTGTGTGCGATCCTCTGGCTGGTGTCTGTCTCCCCTAGATCAGAAGAAAATACCGGGATGCCAGCCGGAATCTCAGCACTTTGGGAGGCCTAGGAAGGCAGATTGCTTGAGCCCAGGAGTTCGAGACCAGCCTGGCCAACATGAGGAAACTCCGTCTCTACAAAAAATTAGCCAGGCATGGTGGCAGGGGCCTGTAATCCCAGCTACTTGGGAGGCTGAGGTGGGAGAATCACTTGAATCCAGGAGGTGGAAGTTACAGTGAGCTGAGATTGTGCC